TTGACCCCCTGAACACAAATATGACACCTATTTTGCGCGAAGAGCGCTGCGAGTCGCACTACAGGTGCCAACGCTTCGGCGCCAGCGCGCCTGGAAGAAGAAAAACAGGTAAAGAAAAACCTCCATAACTCCGCTCAGAGAATCGTTCCGCAAATTTTGAAGATAGTTTCGAGTTCACCGTGTCAAGATGAGTACAATGATGTGCATCTCATTGTATATGGCCGGGCTGACCTGTTGACCTTTCCTGGTTAGATCCGAGATGCCCATGCCGGCCCCCGCTGCTTGACATTTGCTGGTAGCCGACGCCTTCATTACCTTTCTGCTTTTCAGACCTCTCATTATTTTTCCTAGTCTCTCGTCTAGCCGATGTCCCTTCGACTCGCCTTCAATGTTCATCCAATCGTTGCGAATAGCTGAGCCTAAAAAGGGCCTCGTTCAGGTGGGGGGGGGGGACGGGTGAAGAGAGAAGAACTCACCTGTGGTGCGTACGTGGCGCGTGCCGAGCGATGTCGCTGCGATGGTGCGACGAAGGACACAACACTGACAGGCGCTTTTATTACTGCGATTTGATAGATTAGCTCTTGTTGGCCTTCAATAGATAGCGCCATAGCGCGCAGTGGTAAATAAAATCGCTAGTTACAGTAAAATAAGCATGCTTTGAAAAAACCTCCGCCCATTCTCGGAATATGCTTTTAGCTGCCTTCCTTGTCCTAGTGCTGCTAATCAATCATCATTCGTTACTTGCTATCTTCCCTCTTGTCCTAGGGCTGTTTACCATTCATCGGCAAAGTACCAGAAAAGTCATTGTCTTGAGACTGCGGCAGGAGAGCGCTGGCTTTTATTTCCTTTCGCCGCGTTACGCTGCGGCGACAGTATGCACGCGACCCGTGCACTTGTCAGTGAGTTTTTCCGTGGGGCCCTTGTTTAGGCGCGTTCGACAACTTCTGCATTTTCTCAACTAGTAGAAAGTCGAGTCGTAGTGCACTTTATACATCAACACCAGTGCTTACCACCGGCAACCGTGAAATGTATCTCCAGGTTGGCACGGAGTAAGTCCGAGAACCTGGAGAACTTTGGTACAGTTGAGGTAGATCAGTCTAGTGTGGATTTGTATGTACTGTGTTGTTTATTAAGACCTGGAACTCGCTTATAAGGTCTGAGAAAGGGTCACACACAGTTCCTGATTACCTGAGAGGTATGCAAAATCGCTTCCGCACGTCTCTCGATTGTACCACTTGGGGAGGGCCGACTGTTTGAGTGGAAAATTTTGCATCTGCGCCTGCGCTATCTACGAAAAGCAGCAGTGGCCTCGATACCATAGTCCCGCAACGAACATGCGCAGCCACGCAAACGTGAGAGGTTGTGTATGGTGATGGTTAGGCGGTGACTAGCCGTGCGGCATGCCACGCGTCGGGAGACGGGCAAGAGAATCGTGATTTGCCGCTCCACCGCGCGCGGCGATGGGCGCGGCGTTTTCTTAACTCGTGTTAACCTGTCGATGGAGCACCGGACTTCATGTAGACCCCGTCATCGTAGACATGACTATTTTCGGTTCTGAATTGCCTGTTGTCGCCATCTACGACCTGAAACCACCGTTATTTGCGGGCGTCGCACGCGACGCCGATCAGCGCGGCGGATTACGGTTCTCTTATCACATGCCCGCTGGGTGTCTGCGTGCTCTGCATGTGCGTGGAGACGCAAGCGGCGCTAGCTTTCACAACTGTGCCGGCTTCATTCCCGCTTCTGTGGAGTAACGGAAGTCTCACACTTCTACTGCTGCCAACCCGCTGTTCTCCCACATTGCAGGAATCAGGATCGCGCACGTCTGGCCTTCGCAAAGAATTTGCGTGTCATGGTCACGTCTCGCCTTAGTGGCAAATTTGAGCGCCACGGTTGGATCATGAAGATTAATCATGGAAGTGTATGTTGTCCGAGAAGCTGGATGCCTGGTGCCTTCCAGCGTTGAAGTGTCAGTCTTTAGAAACATGCATGCGGATGATTCAGACCTGGAAATCACGAGAGTGCTTTGAAAGAAATTGTGTACGTCGTACGTGCTCGTAGGTCTAACTATTCAACTTCCACTGGAGTTATTGCAGTTTCACTTTTTGAAGGGCAGTACAGCCTCCACAACCGTCTACCAAATCATCTATCCCAGTCGGGGAGTTCTTAGCATTAGTCATCGTGGAACATGCCTTTAAGCTCGACAGCGAGCTTGAGTAGCTCCACAGCTTGAGCTCGCTTCTGCTTATAAGGTAACGTCTGAAGACCAGTATACCTTGGATCTTCCACCTACCGTGTCACCCTGTGTGGCATAATCTTGATAGAGTACTCCATGAATAGAGTGGCATTTTGCCTCATCGCTGGACAGGCTACCCTGGAGGACGCTATTAGTCAATTCTCACTAGCTTACCCTCTCGCCAATAAATATGACGGCACCCTCCAGTGGAGATGGCAGCCAATTCGAGAATGCGTAAATGCTGATCCTGGACCAATTTCGACCGTTAGTGACGCCATTGGCGTGCTTGGACGCTGAACTCTGTTTTGTTACAATTTTCAATTATGTTCGAATTCCTTCCATTTCCGGGAGGCTTATTGTAATAATGAGATGTGGATCCCATCTAGCGACTAATGGTTATAAGCGAGGAGTCCCGACGCATTTTTTGTTGAACTCCTCGTGAACCTTCGTGTTTCAAGTGGACGGCTAGTGAACGTGCCGCCGCTGGCTCCAAAAGTCTCTTCCTCGATACTGGGTGACGGCTTCATAACCTAACGTATCTAATAAATAATCAAATA